CCATATTTTTCTCAAGGATCATCACAGCGCCCTAACAATACACGCAAGCATGGTTATACACTCAATCCTCACTCTCTAGAGGAAAGGCTAGATATCTCCCGACTGGCCGGCTGACCCCACACGACTCATCCATGAAACTTCCACCAACACTACAACGCTCGTGTATGCTAGTCATACATAACGTTGGACCCTATAGGTATTCGAATATTTGATCCTACCCTATGCCCTTCATCAAACAAGAACATGAAATAAGGCCAAACCAAACATTCTCATGCTATAAGATCTTAGTTATATACAACTATTATGCATACACTAAGCAACTACAGTAATGATGTCAGTTTCATAAAAGAAAGACCCTACGCTATCAAGCATCATATAATCAGGCAATTCTATCATACAATTCCTGAAGATTCCTAACCTATCACTAGCATGTTGTTCTAACATATCACAATATCGAATAATAGTATGGTATTTTGGGGTGTACTTACTGGCTCCGGCTAATCATACACATCGCATCCTCTTTTGTATTTTGAAAACCACTTTGAAAATACTTCCTTAGTTTCAAATTGGATTCACACGAGTGTTCCTCCAATTCACTCAAACCAAGGCTCAGATACGAACTTGTAACATCCATAAAATTCGTAAAAATTTTAAACTTTTCAAATATCCAAAAACCACAATTTATTACAAATTGTTTTCAAAATAGTTTAACATCATAGAAGTCCCAGAAAACATAATATCAAATGTGAGGAGGTGCACGATCAAGCCTTCGCCTTTCCGCGATCATTCGAAGTACCTGAAACAAAATCCACAACTGTAAGCCCGAAGCTGAGTGAGTTTCTCCCAAAATACCAACACCAAAACAGATAACATATACAAATGACAACATGCATACAGGGCCTTCAGCATGACTGGAATGCCCCACCGGCCTACAGTTTATCTGGTACGCCTTACCTTCAGCATGACCGGTACGCCTTACCGGGCCTTCAGCCTATCTGGAACGTTCTTCGGGCCTTTGGCCTGACTGGTACGCCTCGCTAGGCCTTCAGTCTATCCGGGACGCCCTGGGTCTGTTAGCCTTCAGCACAAAGCAGGACCGCCTCAACCCACCCACCATCAAACAACATCACATATCATATCAAACGCTAGCTAGCATATATAAATAATCATACAGGTCTAACAGACCATCAATCATAGCATCATCCTATATACTAGGATATAGATCTAACAGATCACTACACCTAGCATCATACGATAAACCAGAACACAATCAAAAGGGTCGGCCTTGGTGCCTTAGACCCTGTTAGTATAGTGAGGAGAACTCACCTCAGAAGTAGTGTTGAACTGGTAAGATCAAATCCCGACTCACGGCTCCGAACTCAACTGCCTACAACCACTATGTGACTAACTTCATTAAATCTCGAATACCCAAAATGTCCTCAGAAGTCAAACGTGGTCAACCATGGTCAAAGTCAAAGTCAACAGTCAACGTCAACAGTCCATGTTGACCCAACTCGTCGAGTGCACATACCAACTCGTCGAGTTACCACAGTACTCAGAAAAACGAGAAAAACCTGTGCTAACTCGCCGAGTTATCAGAACAACTCGTCGAGTTCCTACATTATCCAGAAAAAGGGAAAACTCGATCCAACTCGTCGAGTTGTTGGGACAACTTGTCGAGTTTTCCCAGTCTTAACATGTTCAGCCCCTTCTAAGCAAATCTGACGTTCGAAACTATAGATCTTGTCCCCTAGGACTAAAATACCACGTAAAGTTGCTAACCTTACGTCCATGCATCACATAAGGAAGCTAAAACACTTCACGAAAGCTAATTAAGGGACTTAGAGTATGAAGGGGGCCAAGACTTGATAAAGTTGGTAACTTTAAGTCCAAGTAGGCCGTGAGATGTCCAGATCTGAAGTCATAGCTTTATGACAGGCTCAAATCCAAGAATGACTCCAATATGAGCCAATAATGACCATAAACTCTCAAGTGAAGAGATCTAACAAAGGAATGATCAAAGTATCGACTTTATACCTCAATGTGGTTGCAACAACAGTGAAAATTCCGGATCTAAAGCCTTTCTCTGAATCATACCTCTTCAAACTTCAAGTTCCTTCCAAAAGAGCACCAAATGTCACTCTCCAAGCTCACACACACTTAAAATGAGAGATGATGCACGAATTAGGGTTTCTCTAGACAGAGGGGTGGATAAGGAGGCCACGCCAAGGAGTATAAGGTCCTTAAATAGGGTGCAACACCCTAAAAATTAGGGTTTCATAAACAGCCGCCAACTCGTCGAGTTTTCCTCAACAACTCGTCGAGTTGAGAGCTTCCAACACGTCGAGTCTGAGGCCATCAACTCGACGAGTTCCAAAGGAGAATTTGTCTTTTAAGCCATAAATCTCATACCTGGGAGTTAGGATGTTACAATATCAAAGGTAGCGTTAATTTATTTTTTCTGCAGTTTCAATATTCGAAACATTAACTATCAATTTTTTACCTATTTAGTGATTCTTTATTTTAGTTTGTAGATACGACAAGTTAACTGTATATTGTTACTGAATTTTATTTTCATTGGGTTTTATTAACTGTTCAAATGTTTTATTATATTTTTCTTTAGGATCAAGGACGTCAAAATATTCCCGATAAGTTCAATGGCTTTCTAAATAGGAGGTTTGTTTTTAAAAAGTTTAGATTTCAAAGTTTAATCTTCAAAACAATTATTTCGCCTACACTTTTCATAAGATGAGTGATGATGAAGGTGTAGTTCGTGCGGTTTTCGAGCGTTCACTTGCATATGAACAAGACAGTATTCATTCTGATGGTACAAAATATTTCTATTAACAATACTTAAATTCAAACTTATATGTATTGACGTTTTACCTTAAGACACTTGTTAATTTTGTACATTTTGTTATATTAATTTTGTACAGGATAAGAGTGTTTCGGTTGATAGTGACAATATTCATGTTATTGAGATTGTTACCACCATCAAATCATTTGAATGTTCTTCTTTTAAAGACGGTGTTGATGCTCCCACCTTGAAGATCCCAAAAATGGAAAAGATGGAATAAGTTTAAGTCATTCATCATTATTGGACATTTTACTTTGAAAACTTTTGTTGAGAGTTTTTATTGTTTGCTTATGGATTTGTTTGACAAGTAATTTGTTTTGATTTTGAAGTTTATGTTTGTTTTCATTTGGTTTTAACACGGCGGTATTCGTGTTGTTTAAGACAATTTCATATTTATGTTGACTTATTTATATGACTATTAAGTGTTACATGTTTTGTTTCTTATAATATCATTGAATGATTATGTTTAACATATAACTTTAGTAAGCAAATGAAATATTTCAATTTAACGAAAAGTCTTATAACATTGACCTTTTTAACCTTGGTTCCGTTTTGGGTTCTATGTGAACATTGTCACTTCTAATGCCTTGGCTGGCTTTTTATTTCCGTTTATTTAAGTACAATGGTTTAATAGAAAAAATAAATAAAAGAACAACGAATGTTTTATTTATTGTATATAGCACCTAATTTGGCTAAATGTAAAATAATAGCAATATCCATCGTATTTTCAAGATAAAGCTATTTTTGTTCCTACAAATGAAGAAGTTGATGCTATCAACGATTGCATGTTATAATTGATGAAAGATGAAAGAAAAAGGTATCTGAGTTCAAATATTTTATGTGAGACCGAGGCACAAGATTCTTTTAAGGAATCAGTACACTCTCCACATGTGTTAAATGGTTTTAAGGTTTCCGGAATTTCCAACCATAAACTTATACTAAAAAAAGGTGTTCCGGTCATGTTACTTCGTAATATCGACCAAACCAAAGGACTATGTAATGGTACTATATTATAGATCGTAAGGCTTGGAAGACACGTCATTAAAGCCCGAATCATATCTTGTAGATTTTTCAATGAGACTACTTATATACCTCGTATGAAGTTAACCAAGTCTGATAAAAAATTTTCATTCCGTTTTCAGTGGAGACAATTCCCCATAGCTGTTTGTTTCGCTATGACCATTAACAAAAGTTAAGGACAGCCATTATCAAATGTTGGATTATACTTGCATATATTCGTCTTCACTCATGGTCAGTTATATGTAGTTGTTTCCCGTGTCATAAATAAAAAAGGTTTGAAGGTACTCATATTTGACGAGGAAAATCGTTCAACTAATAAAACAAAAAAATGTTGTCTACAAAAAGGTTCTTCAAAAATTATAGATATTTATCGATTTCAGTGTATCTTCTACATATTTCAATAATACCAATAGTCATAAAAAAAAATTAATTATTATGCGATATCTATAGATGTTTGTATTTTTTTTATGTGCTCTTCCGCGTTTAACGCGGGTTGTAATCTAGTATTACACCATAATTAGCTAAAAAGATTGTTTGAATATTCTAATATTCTGTTACTAGAGTATTGCACGTATATTAAAAAACAGGGTTTTTTTTTTGAACTGTGAGGTTAGCAGTTGGCAGTTAGTATCACGAAACCGTCAATACCTTGAACAGAATTCAAGACCTCAAATCTAAGAGGCAAAGCTTCTACCAAGTAGATTATTCTCACATTGACATTAAAAAACGGTAATTAATTTATGTATATTTTATTTTTCTTTTTTTTGAACAAAAAATAATATTTAAAGAAAACACAAATTTTTTTTTATTTATTTTGCATTTTTGAATTTCTTTTTTATTTTTTGTTTTCCAAGATAAATGTTCATCACGGGTGGTAGAAGGGGATGAAAGAAAGGTTTTGTTGTTTAACCATGTTGAGAGAAAAGAATAGATTTCATTTTGATCATATCTAAACTTAAAATATGATGAAATGGATTATAATATTGGTGAAAGGAAAGAGATAGAAGAAAAACAAAACCAACTCAAAGTTATATAAAAATAATATTTTCAGTAGTCACCTTTAAAGGAGTAAAGTTCCAACTATGACCGTAGGTTGTTAGTTATTACCCTAAGGAAAAAGTTTAAAAAGAGAACCCAACAAACCCCATATATATAACACCCCAAACACATATCATTGAGATATATAGCACTTAACAAACGAATAAGATGTGGAAGTTAAAGATAGCAGAAGGTAACGATCCTTACTTATTTAGCACCAACAACTTTGTTGGACGCCAAATTTGGGAGTTTGATCCCGATGCTGGAACTCCTGAAGAGCACCAAGAAGTCGAAAACGCTCGTCAACTTTTCCTTAACCGTCAAAAGGAAGGTTTTCAAGCATCAGGCGATTTACTCATGCGGATACAGGTGAATTCATGTCACTAAAAATCTTGCATGTACAAGTTTAATATGCATGTATATTATAAATTTGTTGCTAGAAAACTACTAAAAAGAGTTTTTATAATGATAAACGAAAGAGATGATTTCAATTGAATGTAATGGTGGCTTAACAAACAAGTTCAGTTCTCCTGGTGTGCTACAAACACAGCACAACTCTGAATAGATATAGGAGCTGTTTGGAATTGCTTATTTACTTTGTTTATTATCTTATTAGTTTGATAAGGTAAATAAATATTTTTAATTGTCCTGCTATTAAAAAGAATAACTAAAGACAAAACAAACTGAAAACGCATATTGGCTTAAATAATGTGCTTTTGATAAATTGTTTTTCCTTACTAATTTGAATATTCTTAATAAAGTTGAAAATATATTTCTAATTATACCCCTATTTTAATCTAAGCAAATTATATATCATTTTTTCTTTTATTTTTCTATATTTTTACCCATAAAAGCTATATTTGATTATTTCACTAAATATATACATAAATAGACTTTCAAAATGAGACACCTATTTCCATTTCTTATGATTGTTCCATTTAGACCGGATGATGTACTCAAATTTCATATTTTATTTTATTTTGATATTTTCCGTGCCACTTCAGAATTATCTCGCCTTTCTCTTGCTCTTATTACTTTTTCAAGGAAGGTGTCATATTTCATATTCCCTCACTTTTTTTAGTTAAATTAAAATACTATATATATATATATATATATATATATATATATATATATATATATATATATATATATATGGCTATGTTATTTTGTTTCTTACATTTATTGTGTGCTAGAATGCACCAATAGTAATTTAGTAAATTAAATAACTATTTAATTAAATAAATATAGATATATTAAATGATTTCCATAATTATATGAATATTAAATGATATCCATAATTATAATTCTCTTTTTATGGAAACTAATTAAATCTGTCATTAATGTCAGCAATAACATTCTTTCAGAATGAATTCGCATCTAAGTTTTTATATATGAGTTCGTATCTTGTTTCAGGACTCACTCACTTAAAATACAATAAAGTTGCATGGAATATGAAGAACGAGAGTGTATTCTAGTAGAATACACTCTCATTCAGCTGGAATACACTCTCATTCTTCTAGATATGAATTCATTCTGAAAGAATATTATTGTTGACATTAATGACGAATTTAATTAGTTTCCATAAAAATGAATTATAAGTATGGATAGCATTTTAATATATATTTAATTAATACTAAATTCATATTGGTGCATTCTAGCACACAATAGATGTGAGAAACATTTGAACATACATATATATATATATATATATATATATATATATATATATATATATATATATATATCTATATATATATATATATATATATATTGGAAAAACGTTTAATAAACACAAAATTAATAAATATACAAATATCTCAATACTTTGGAAAAGTACATAACTGTAATAAAAAGTAATACATATTAAAATAAAAATGAAAACAACTAACATTTTTTTCCTGACACCGGCCTTCAACATTAAAACGCTATAACGTGCGACATTTCTCATCGCCTCACCACATCGACGATATGATATTTAACCGTTGTGAAATATCCACATCACCCCACCATATTGTACGATGGGGATGCTCCTCGTAGCCTTAATCTTATGTGATTATTCACTTACCATCAAACATGTATTTATATTAAAAAATTAGGTATGAGACCCGTGTACTACACGGGTTCATTAAAAATAAAATTTTAATTTCAATATTTATACATTAAATATTTTATAAAATAACACTTTTACATAACATAATGTAATTTATTTAGGACATTTATAAAAGAAATCAAATATTCTTTAGAACATTTATGAGACTTTATTATCAAATTAATAGAATGATTCTCTTTCTTTATAAAACTCGATAGAATTTTGTGAAATTTTAATTTAAAAAATGGAAATTCTTACAAAATAACAAATGAAAAATAATAATTATAAAACTCCCACAAAATTACATGGGGCAAAACTCTTGAGAATTTGACAAGTGGCAAAAAAAACTTTCATTTATTAGAAAAGGATATATGCATTATACTAATAAAAAATATTATTGTAAATGATAAAAGATCAATTGTTATTTGTAAAAATAAATAAGTGAATAATATGTAAATATATGTTTTTTTGTCATTTTTACGTAAATAAGTAGAATTTAGTGAATATTAAAAAAAAACAATTTATTTATTTGTTACGTTGAAAGCTAACGCATTTAAAAGAAAACCATTTTTAACTTTACACAAATTAATAAACATTTTTATAAAAATAATACATAAGTTATTTTAAATAAACAATCTCACAAGACTCCTTAAAACATTGTTTCCAATTGAGTTATTTTAAATAGAGCTGAAAATTGATCGATCTGAATTAAATTCGGATTCAACAAATTTGTTAATTGGGTTGAAGATTTTAATCCACTCCAACCTATTTATTTAATTGGATTGACATTTCCAATCTAACACAATCTTTTAGATATATAGGTTATCATCAGGTTAACCTCCTGTTTATATAATTTTTAACTCAACCTATTAAATAAATATGTTAAATTTAGGTTAATTCATTTAAAATATAAAATGATAAATAAATAAATTAAAAATTACACCACTTAAATTAGTTTAAAACTTAAGTAAGTTTCCATTTTATGATAAAAACACAATCTCAAATCACAAATACAAATACATTGTTCAAATAACATTAAAAATATTTAATTTTCAAGTGATTTTGAAAAGTGGTTAATATTGTTGGCGTATATTATAATTTATAAATTAATATACTTAGATTAATATATGATAATATTTAAATAATTATTAAATTAAATATATATTAAAATTAAATGGGTTGGTTTTTTGAAACATATCGATAATTATTAGTTTTTTAATACTCAAATCTTTGTGTAAAAAAGTGAAATACAAAAATGCTTGTGAACTAAATATGCTAATATCCCAAACCTTTGTGAAATATAAAACTGTTCATTTGCGCTTTCATATATAGTGAAAGTTAGCTATAGTTTAAAACATTTTGGGTATGATGTATAATTATATCCTATCGCTGTAATTTTTTAAGAATTACAATAAAGATTTTTTTTACTAAATCAATAGTGTTGATTTATTTATAATAATAAGAAGTTATTTATAATAATAACAAGTTACATCGAAAGTTTCCAAATGAAAATAAACATAACAAACCACCGTCTCATAATAATAACTAGGTGTGAAACTCGTGTAGTATACGGGTTGATTAAAATAAAAATTAAATATAAAAGTGTAAATATTAAAACATCAACAGTGTATTTTAAATCAAAATTACTGATACATTCATCATTTCGTATTATAAAATATAAATTTTAATATAAAAACTATATTCAAACATAGTAAGTGTTTTATTTAAAATATTTATAATGAAATAATTTAGTTTGCTAATAAATTCTATTATTTTATTATTCTCCAAAAGATATTGAAACAAATTTTATTTGGAAAATAAGAAAACAAAGAATAAAAAATCTAAGGAAAATATCAAAAAAAAAGTATGTTAGTAGCATAATTTTAAATTCGTATAACATATATAGATACATTAAAAAGTTTTTGAAAATATGGAATATATGTAAATTTTAATGCCATATAATAGCATAAATTTAGGCTAATAATATGGAATAAGAAAAATAAATCGAAAATTGATTTAAATGACCTTAAATGTAGGAATTGAAATTTGGAAAGAACGTCTATTCTTAAATCCTTATAAATACATAATTATGTGGCATTTATAAATAAAATTGATAACTATAAGAAAATGACATGTGAATTTTATTAAATTCAAAAACAACATAAAATGTCAAGTGTCATAATTCATGACAAAGTGATATGTTGCAAAAAAAAAAAAAAAAAAAAAAAAAAAAAAAAAAAAACTTTCATTTATTAGAGAATATAACAACAATAAACAACAACAACAATAATAATAATAATAATAATATTATTATTATTATTATTATTATTATTATTATTATTATTAAACACTTGATTCTCTATTTATCTTATATGTATTGTCATAATCCCTTAATTGCTAATGTCCAACTATAATTAAGTTTATTGATAAGTAAGAAGTGGTAAAAGACAAAGAATATAAGTTACTTGTATAGTTTTCCAATTCTAGTAATATATACATTAATACAAGATATTGATTTTTGACATAATATCTTTCTTTATTTGGGTCATTTGATTTTTTTTTTGGAACCAGGCAAATGAATATAAAAAAAGGGCCCTTAGCAAGAAGCTATGAAAAGACCCAAAGCATATACAATATGGAAATAAGAGAAAAATAAAGTATGCAGACAATTTTAAGAAAAAAACCACCGTTTTAGAATGGTTGTATACTCCAATCCGTCCACTTAAGACTCTCATTACCACTTCTATGTTTGGACGAGACAAAAGTGGTGGATTTGATGATATCTGCAACTTTTGTAGGTGCCAGATTGTTTTTGTTGAACCGTCAATCATTCATTGCTTTCCACACACTCAACATCATTTCGTAACATATACCAACGAATTTTACTCTCTTTTTTGGACAATTACCCCAGTTTGAGGCATAATCCAAAACATCAAACACCGAAGTCAAGCTGACCAAAGGGATATTACACCAACTAAAATTTCACTCCATGACTGACTTTGCGAAAAGGGATTGTACTAAAATGTGATCCACTGTCTCTTCCGCATTCCCGCACTGTTGACAAATGTTTGAGTCCGCCATCACCCATCTTTTGATGAGTTCCACAACAACTAGAATTCTCCCTATTCTAGCCCTCCATACGAAGCTTGTTACTTTTAAAGGCACATGTTTAATCCATAAGAATTTTCCAATGTCTACCGGTTCCTAAGTTTGCATCTAACTCTCAATGCTTTAACTATATACTCACCATCAGTCGTGAGGCCACACGACCAAGTTACACCAAGGGGTTGCATATTCTTTTTAATCATCTGATCAGTTGAGACTCCTTTTTTCTCCAGATCTTTCTTTGCACCAGTAATGTTTTTCCAAGTTCTTGTCATTGTTTTTTTCGAGTAATATTCATCCGGTTTGTTTTGAATATTATGTATACCTTTTATAACATTTTCCCATAATGCCCTTTGTTCCACTCTTAACCTCCACAACCATTTTACAATAAGGGAAGTATTGAATGCTTTTAAGGAACCCACCCCCACACCGCCTAGCTTCTTATCCGCTATTACCTTCTCACATGAAATCCAATGGATTTTTGTTTGCTCCTCCGACCCCCCCCCCCCCCCCCCTAAGAACTGACATTTGATTTTCTCCAAAGTCTTGATTACACCCTTGGGTGCTACAAATAGTGATAGAAAGTATGTTGGGAGGTACCCCATTACCGATTTGTATGATTTGATAGATGAGTAAGGATGTTCATTTTGCATGACCTATTCAACATATCTAATTAAATCAATTCAAATTAATTTTAGTTTTTAAAATATGAATCCGAATCAAAGTTTATAAAGAACTAAGAAAAATATATTATATTTTCATATGTTACAACTAAAAACCTTTTGAGAAGAAAAATGATGAAACTTTTTGAATATATTTGTAAAACAATTTAGTAGTTAATAAATGATTAAAAATATATATTAAAAAATTATAACTAAAAAATAATAGTAAACTGTTATTCCGATTTTCGAATTATTCAATTCTTATTTTATAAATAAAAATCAATGCATTTATTGAAAATCTATCCAAAAATTAGAATATATCCAAATAGTTAATCAAAATTGAAAAATTAGACAATTTAGTTTATTCAGAACTAGATCTGGTTCGTTAACCCATTTATGACATTATCCATATTTACGGATTTAAGGTTAAATATCCATTAACCTTTTCTTTTATTAAAATTCAAATTCAAAATACACATACGTGGATTTTTTTTATTCTTAACATATCTGTTGAAATAGCCAAAAGTTATCGAAAAGAAAAATAAGACGACTAGAAGATGCATGAAACCATTTTGAAATGAATTATGTGACACCCTGATTTTTATGCAAAAGTACACAACAAAAATTCTTTTTTGTTTTAAAAATTCAAAAGACAGTGGTGTACTTTCATAAAATAGAGGCAACAAGTCTATATTTTAAAAACTACTATATATCTATTTTAATAAATCAAGATTTATTTGTGTCATTTGTCGTTTTCTTAAGTGTTTTGATACTTATCATTGTGTGGTAATTTTAGATTAATTAATGGCGACATGTTATTTATGTTTTTTTTTTATTCTTAACATATCTGTTGAAATAGCCAAAAGTTATCGAAAAGAAAAATAAGACGACTAGAAGATGCATGAAACCATTTTGAAATGAATTATGTGACACCCTGATTTTTATGCAAAAGTACACAACAAAAATTCTTTTTTGTTTTAAAAATTCAAAAGACAGTGGTGTACTTTCATAAAATAGAGGCAACAAGTCTACATTTTAAAAACTACTATATATCTATTTTAATAAATCAAGATTTATTTGTGTCATTTGTCGTTTTCTTAAGTGTTTTGATACTTATCATTGTGTGGTAATTTTAGATTAATTAATGGCGACATGTTATTTATGTTTTTTTTGCGTGCTCTTTATTAAATTCTATATGGTATTTATATCCAATAAATTTAATAATAAATAGATATCATTTTCAATAATACAGATTTTTTTTCTAATTTTAAAATTCTTAAATCGAAGGAGATTCAATTAATGCAAAATTTTGGTTGTATTTATTTGGAAATTTACTTTAAAATTGTTTAATATATATTTAATTTTTTTTTAATCAACTTGTGTAGTACACGTTTATCACTAGTGATCGAATAAATAACAAAAACTATAATTATACATATCTACTAAGGTTGGAGGGAGTCATGACACCGAAACCGCACTCCCTTCACCGCCACATATGCGTCACGTCACTTTTTACCACACAAGTGTGGTTTCATGGCACACCAAGGGAGTTGGATTATGGTAAAGAGAGAGAAAAGAAAAAAAAATAGAAGACGCTGATTGGTTGAAAGAGGAGAGAGAGAGAACAAATAAAAGAGGAGAGAGATAGTGAAAGTGCAGCAAAAATCTACTGCACTGCGGCCTAAACCGCAGTCAGGGGGCGGTGTTCCCCTGCCTATGTGGCAAAAAGTGCGGTAAAGAACCGCACCACTCCCCACAGCCTAATCTAACAACTATCTTCTAAGTTTGATCTTTATCTTCATTACGTTCTTCAACTAAAACATCCTCTCTGCGTATTTGTATATTAATACATTACCTATAAATATACATCATAAAAATTGGTAAGCACTAAAGATTAGTATGTAACATTACGAACTTTCCATTTCCATACAGCCATAGAGTTCGTATAACTTCAAACTTTTCCAAGTTATCTGTATTATAACTCACAGTAAAAGCACATATAATTTCCATCCATAATCATCATTGTTCCATAACAACTCAATAAACGCACCAACTGCTACTTTTAGCAATCTCTCACTATATACTATCAATTGTAAACTCATCAAAGTATTTTAACCATCTTTTGATCTTCATTCTATTAGTTTACATCACATATTTAAACATAAAGTTAACATGTGCATCTTTACCATTCATCGTAAAATTATCTCATATTAACTTCAAATTTTTTTTTTTATCATTTCTCACATAATTTTATAACCTTCATTATTCTAACATGTATCAATTCTCAAAACATTCATTTCATATCTACATACTCTCACTATTAACGTCTTTCATGTTGATTCCCACATAAGCTACAAAATAGCATCATCTAGAAGCAGATTTAGGGGGTTCCGGGTTCCCACGGTAACCGATGCAACCCCTCATATGGGCGTGTTTGGCACGGATCTTTTGGAAGCGTTTGGGAGCTTCTAGCTTTTAACTTTTGATAAAACGCTCTAGTTTAAACAAAAAGATTCGTTTGACAGTACGAGCGTTTAGCTTTTAGTTTTAACAAAACGCTCCAAAGCTTTTGAAATCAATTTCCATAATTACCCTTAAAAATATATTTATATATTTATATATTTGTAATCAATTGTCCTTTTATGTAATTTTATATATTTCAAAAGCTTCCAGCTACTTTTGTCAAACATTCATATAACAAATAAAAGCTACAGCTTCCCGCTACTAGCTACCTGCTACATGCTACCAGCTACCCGCTACCAGCTAACCGCTACCCGCTTCCAGCTAACAGCTATTTTTGCCAAACACACCATTTATCTTCTATAGGCTTAATAAGAGCATCAACTACAATATCTTTTAAGCCCAATAACAGCATCATCTTTTTAAGCTTAATAAGAGAATCATCTTCTTTATCTTTTTTAAGCCCATCAAAAACATCATGTTAATAACGTTATTAAGCACATCAAGAGCATCAACTCCATATCTTCTTTAAGCCTATCAAGTATCATCTTCATAACTTCTTTAAGCCCATCAAAAGCATCATCCTCATTACTTCTTTAAAATCATCAAGAGAGTCAACTTCATAACTTTTTCAAGTTTATTAAAAGCATCAACTTCATAACTTCGATAAGTTCATCAAGAGCATCAAATTCATAATTTCTTTAAGCTCTTTGCTCATTGAGAGCTTTTACAACAATCATAAATTTACTCATCAAGATTATTGATAATAATCCATTCGTATATATTTAGTTACCAATATTTACCATAAACACACATATATACGCATTAATAGTACTTAAAACTTCCCAAATACTCATCAAGAGCATCTTATAACATCTATCGCCATATACTTCTATGTTTCTCCGTAAGTCATCATAATACATTCATAACGGTTCATATATATATATATATATATATATATATATATATATATATATATATATATATATATATATATATATATATATATATATATAATGGCTTTTAACGTGATTAATAGTTTTTTAATCTTAACTATTACAATGTTCTATGTATAAAATGGATAATCTTTTGTAGTTAATCAAGGAGAATGAAATTGATGTATTAAGCATACCACCAGCAAGGTTAGGGGAAAATGAGGAAGCGAATCAAGAAGCGGTAACAACCACGATAAGAAAAGCAGTCAGATTTAATCGTGCCATCCAAACAAAAGATGGTCATTGGGCTACTGAACATGGTGGCCCTTTATTTTTCACTCCTCCACTTGTAAGTTTCATCAAATACTCCGTTTATTCATAAGATATCTATTATTTGGTTTTGTATATGTAATGAAAAACATTTAAAAACCAATATATTATCGCATAACGGTTGCGGTAACAGTTATATCTAGGTGAGGAATTAAGATTAAGAGTCTGGTTAATTAAAATAAACATAACTAAAAGGGTTAAATAAAGGCTTGAGATAAATATATGTTAACCTCCCTTCAAACTCACAATATAACACCAATAAACATCAAGAGTTTGTTAGATGAGAAACGAAACCTAAAGCCGTATGAACTTTAGTATAAATATTAGTATATTGCAAAGCTAAAGGACATAAGACAGAGAGATGATTTCAAGTTGGAGATGATAACACATGTAATGACAGTCAATCTCAATATGATTCGCCTACTAGTCGAAAACAAAATTATGATCGGTATGCACTGTACTTGTGTTGTCTCAATGTATGATGCATTGTACTTGTGTTGTTACAATGTATAGGAGTGGGCTACGAAACATCAAAACATATGTCCACAACAAACCAACAAAACTTAACAATCCTATAACTAGTAACGACCATTTCATGATACTCAACCTCTATGGAAGAACGAGAAACAACATTATAGAAAACAATATTATACTTGGGATCATTGGCATCATCATTCCAATCAACATCATTATAAGTATGCATCTCTAAAGAGGATGTCGAAGGGAAAACAAGACTTTGAAAACTGAGTAACTCGTAGATATCTTAATATGCGAAGACCTGCTCCCTAGCGAACGATACTAGGAGTCGTAACAAATTGGCTAACTACGTTAATAACATGTGTTATGTTCGAGAAAGTAATAATGTTAAACCAAACTGCCCACAATAGTAGGGTATAAACACAAATCCGATGAATGACCACTATAAGTAAAGAGCATTGGTTGAAGGGTGTGTCTATAGTCTTGTTTTCAGAGAGCCACACATTCTCAAATACATCTTAAATATAGTTCTACTAAAACAAAAGATAACACTTTTGGATTAAGCAACTTTAATAACCAAAAATAACATACCATTCCCAAGTCTTTCATAGTGAAACAATATGCCAAATCACACTTTTGAAACTCAATTCCATCATAGTCATCACAAGTGGTAATCATGTCATTTACATATATGGGTAATAGAATTTGATTTATCATTGTGCATTTTAAAAAACAATGTCGAATTGTGATTACAATAGACAAAACCAAGAAAAGTATTCATTTTATAGAACTTCTAAAACCAAGCAATAAGAGATTTGTTTGAGTTCGTATAAGGTTTTGTTATCCTGACAAACTTCACTGGGTTGATAGAAATACCCTAACGATGTGTCATGTAGACCTCACGAATATGACCAAATAAGAATGTGTTCTTGATATCTATTTGAGGGAAACCAGATCCTCATCTATAACATCTTGCCCAATGGGTTCAATAATAATCTCTCTATAGGGCTTAGTTTCACATAAAATGATAAAGGAGTAATAAAAAAATGGAGGTTGATAGAATTACTAGGATGTGTGGACTATTGTAGAAGAGGGCCAACTGTAGTTACAGTAGATAATGGAGTTGTCGTGCTAAGCAACAGTCGTAGATGTCTCGTGAACAAAAGTAATTTATGTAATATCCCCCTCTAGCGCATATCACAATATTGTCTGCTTTTGGCTCCCGACACGAAAACTTATTAAGGGATCACCCATGGTAGAATTTCCATTACCCAAGCACGCTTAACTGTAGAGTTCTTGTGGGATTTGCTACCCTCACGACATTAAAACGTGTTGTGATAGGAAAGGTATCCACACACCTCATAAGGAATGTTTAATTCTCCTTCCCAGCCAATATGGGATCATGTGCAGGTATACACCCACCTTCACCCCCTTTACATGTTTGATGTCTCTGTCGAACACATCGACATGTGCCCTGGCTCTGATAACAACTTGTAACGTCGTGATTTTTACTCAAATTTGACGTTATTTTTTTTTCAAAACTTCTAACATAATACATTAGCGGAAGATTTTAAATAATCATATCTTTTATTTAAACGGAAACCTTCATTTAAAACCACAATGTCACCTTCGTGACAAAAATCCAAAAACACATTATTCAGACGTTGTATGAAAGGGTTTATACATTCAATAACAAAGTAAATACCATACGTTCCAATAACGTATCAACTGCTAAAAAGAACATTAAATGTAAACTACCCAAAAGAATCCCAAACTCACAAGCAATCTCCTATGAAACCTGAACCAACGCAATGCAAGAGAAACAAGCAAAGAATAAGTGTCAGCAAGTGTAAAGTGAGCCAATCATAGTTACAATGTTAAATGAGAACATACATATCCCAAAACAGGACAATCAATCATCACAAAACATGTAATCAACTTCACACATTGTGTAGCCTCACATACATCATACGGTCATCACTATAATATGTTAATACTAATCTTCGTTTTAATCTTCATTGTGTAGCGTCCATGTAATTATTCATCATTTTTCATCACTATAATATTTTAAATATTAATCTTCGTTATTATCACTTTACTTTATTATTGAGGTCTTTATGTTCATCACTAACCCATAAGAAATAACCCATTTTCACTACTAACATGATCGGCTCGGTGCAATGCACTAAGTAAGGCGCGACTATAGAAACCCCCAATACCCCTCGTTTGCTACTCTGATGATGCATGTAGAAGTATGGTGTGTTGTCTTTCAAGAGTGATAAAAGTACTATTTCCATCTTTATGCCTCCCACTCAAACCGCATAGCCAACATCACTCCAGTACACCCATTGCAGAGACCATGTACCAAATGGTTGTCTAGAAAAACACTCGACTTCGTTATTGGCTTGAGCTCTTGTCCTATAGGTACTCTTTCAAACTATTCGGCCATCATACAATCCAGATAGGATACGCACCTAAGTCTAGGTTACTACCCTTTACTTTCTAAGTATGTTTTCCCCCATTATTAATTTGTTACTAATTTACATACAAAGGGATATTTATATTTCATAATTTTCTCATCACCACATAACATGCATAATACATCCTCATAATATTAGCGCATAACACATCACTAGCATGCATTGTCCTATCGTCATTGATAACTTATTCTACTAGAACATCACACAACATAATCAAATCATACCCCTCATACTAGCACAAACCTATACACTCAATTCATACCAATGACAATATTGAATGAATTGATCTTGATCGAAGTCAAAACCAAAGAAAAAGTGTGTCCAGAAATCACAATAGAATACCCATCAAACTTCTCCCGAACAGGAACAAAATCCCTTACTATTATCTCAATACTTAACACGGACTCCAAAGGACTCTGAGGTAACATAAAATGAGCATAAAAAGGCAATGACACAAAAGATCTAACATACATACCACTATTCCATTCATGAGTACCGTCCACCAGGTCTCTGGGTTTCTCATGGTTCCTCCAATCCCAAATATATATCATGTGCTTATGATAGTATAGGCCTAATAATAACATTCACACACACACACACACACACACACACACATATATATATATATATATATATATATATATATATATATATATATATATATATATATATATATATATATATATATATATATATTGCTTCTAGAATTACCACAAGGTCTCATATGTTGTTGATTTAGGTTAAACACTAGTACACCTAATAGTTTCAATATTTCATACTCTTTTATAACCTTATACTATATAATGGTTATTTTTTTGATCCAACATCGTCCGATAATAAACCAACAGCTTGCAAGTTCTGCCGAATCTTTTCAATCCAATCATCATCCTAATATGATATTCCAATTCCTCAATACGCGTCCCACTAGTCAAACTACGAACGCTCTATGATAACTAAGCTCGTGGGTCACAAGCAACTTAAGGCATTGGGAATGCAACTCGCCTAAATCCTTTTTGGTGATTCAGATTATTTCCTGCCCCTCATGGACTATTGTTCATTTGATATGAAACATTTCCCTTTACGTCAAGAGATATTACCCATCACATGATACGCAAGAAAGAAGAGACGATGTTCAGATATCGAGAATAATAAGATTCCTACATGTATATAACAAATAACCTTTAACTCCCAACACCCCCTAAAAGTATAAAAAAAACTAATTGAGACAATCAAAATTATGATTCTGAACATTGGCATTGGACTATTGTTCAGATGAAACATTATCCTTTACGTCGAGAGATATTACCGATCACATGATCCGTAAGAAAGAAGAGATGATGTTCTTATATCGAAAAGAATTAGAGTCCTATAGGTATATAACAAATAACCTTTAACTCTCACATCGACTAGGAAGGAGAACTAAATATTCATTATAAGGGGTGTGGGTACCTTCCCTATCACAATGATTTTTAAAGCCGTAAGGCAGTAGATCTCATAAGAACTCTGCAGTTAAGTATTCCCGTGTGAGAGCAATTCCAGGATGGGTGACCCCCCTGGGAAGTTTTCGTGTTGGGAGCCCAAAACAAATAATATTATGATACGTGAAAGAGGGGGATGTAACAAATGATGTTGTAGATCTCATGAAACAAGGTATCTGATGGATTTCCATCAATGCCAACACTAAACGGATCAATAATCTAGAGGTCTGACTTTGTCATGTCATGAGACAAAGTAGGATGGAAACAAATGGAATATACTAAAAAATATGACATGATGTGAGAAATAAATTTTTTAACTAAACAGACCAAAGAAACTATACCCTTCCGATGGATATCATATCCTAAAAGGACACATAGCACATACCGAGGAGACAACTTGTTATGCTTAACAAGAGGACAAAGAACAAATTATCTGACTTTGTCATGTCATGAGACAAAGCAGAATTGAAAACAAATGGAATATGCTCCAAAAATATAACATGATATGAGATGTAATTTTTTTTAACTAAACAGACCAAAGAAACTATACCCTTTAGATTGATTTCGTATCCTAAAATAACAAATAGCACATATCGAGGACACAACATATTATGCTTAACATGAGGATGGAGAACAAAAGTGCAACCAAAGACACACAATAAGGAATAATCATGTAAGTGCAAATATGGTTTTTCAAAAGGACACCAACCAAAATTATGTGAGGCAGGAATTTGATTAATAACATGAATAAAGGTTAGGATAAACTTTCCCTACAATACATTAGGAACCTCATGAGATACTAATAAAGAGTGACTAGTATCAATAAGATGAAGATGTTTTCTTTCAACAAAATCATTTTCTTAAGGATTGTCAATACATGAGGGTTGATTGGTGTATGGTACCATCAGATACAAGTAAATTGAGCCACAAATTTTGCATTATAGAGAAAGTGCATGTGAATTTGCTCAAAAGTGTAATATATTATAAATCATAATGATCGATAGTTGATTTATGTTCTAGTAAGTAGATTTAAAATCAATATTATACTGTTATTACATAGAAAAATGAGGATAACACAATTTGACTGTGCAGATTATAATTTTATACATTAGTGGAGCCATCGATACACATTTAACAAAGGAGCACAAGAAAGAGATGAAACGCTTTATCTACAATCATCAAGTAAGAATCATGTCTAAATCATTGTCTTTTCATTTTAATACATTTGTATTACACATCGTTATACTTTTTATTATATTTCTTTTTGTTTTATGGAATATCATTGGTTTACCAAAGTTTGTTTTGCTAAGTATAAGTTAGATCTATACCACATGAAATACAATGTATATGATGACTTAGATTTTTTTTTCCAAATTACATGCAATTTAAACCACTAAGTGACCCTTTTTCTATACATCATGTTTCTAACAAATCAACTCATCGACATTAGATATTAGTACAAAATGTTATAGTGGCTAGCCATATCATTTAGGCTAGATGAAAAGATGTATGATGCCAATATAATCAATGATCATCAAGAGGCAATGCATCTTTTCATATTTATAAAAACATAGCGCCAAAATCTTTTTAGGTTAAACCGTCTTGAATCCTCACACATCAATCTTGGTAAAATAATAATTATATTTATCCTCTTTCCAATCCATTAGTTGTGATCTTCTTTAATAGTTGTGACACTTCAAATCCCATATTATGTACTATACTCTCAAGCCTTCCATATATTGATACATCGCTATTAATCGACTTGAGACACTCTAGCTTCAACCATATTTCACTCATATAAATTTTCCTCCACTTTAGAAACTTCATGTGGCACAACCTTAAATCATGTAACTTTTATTCCACTTAAAAAATCATGTATATTTTGTAGCAATTTCACTAAAAAGTTGGGAAATTGGTTTACCTATTATGGAAAATGGGTTTTACCCGATCTGTAATAAATATTTTGTGTCCTGTACCAACTTAAAATGGAAAGATGTTTATGATTTTATATTCTCCTCTTTAATATCTTGATTTTTTATATTTAATGTTCAAAATAGACGATAGATGAATGAAAATTTAATCTACAAGTTATGGTAAGTGAATGGTTTTTTTTTAGTGGTGATGTGAACGCATCCCACATAGGCGAAAGAATAAAACGAAAGTAAGTTTACATAAGAAGGAATTACATGTGCTTGTAAGCATTAATAGCACAGTGGTCTCTCTTATATGTGACGAGTGCAAACGCAAACCAAAGGGCTTCTAGCCCAGCGGTATCCGGTGTTGCCCTCCCTCCTTGAGGTTGAGGGTTCAAGTTTTGTCGTGGACATAAAAGTGGATGATCCTAAATTAGCTACTAAACTTGTGTCTGAATACACATCATGTGGATACGGTTGCATCAATGCTCGACCATAAAAGTTAAAACTGCTACGACGAATTTTGAAGTTTTCAACATGGCAATTTTAGTCATAGTTAAGTTCTTCTCCCTATGGTACTACTACAAGATTTGAAGCTTTCACCACAGTAATAAGTATGCCCAGTTGAGTTCGGCAATAGAACCAGTCGTTCCTAATATATCATAGGAAACATGTTCGACAATACTACGAATTGTGTTTTAGGTATACTATGTTTTAAACACCGGCCCCAATCTTTGTTTAATTCTATGTTTTTTTATATATACATTATATTAGTACTTTCCTATAATCTTAGAAAAAAAAATTATTGTATAGAAATAAATACAAAATTAGAAGAAATCAATTTTGAACTTGTTGTATTTTATAAGAGTTATTTTTCTTTAGTTTTTAAAATGATTTTTCATACTTTATAAAAACGGATTTCTTGTGATTTTGAAGGAAAAAAAACATTTCATCTGTTTATGCTTCTTATACAAATTGTTCCATATAGAATTATAATAATAATAATAAAAAAGAAGGTATCTTTGTAGTTTTTACAGAAACCAATAATTCTATAAAAACATGCACTCTTTGTAATCTGATGTACCTGATTAGTTGCACCATAAGGTTATGTAGTAGGCAAATGGGGGTTATACTTGTACCAGTTGCGAGTCTAGAATAGAAAATCATATGGCTCACTAATTTTTCTATAGAAAATTTTCTATACAAATTTAAAGATTTTATTGGTAAGATATGTTATAAATTTTTTCTACAGAAATTTTAGATAAATTAGAAAAATTAGGTGGGTCATTGGACCAACATTCCTTATGCATAGCCTCGCCATTGACTCGAACTCGTATTGTGAAAATTTTAAGTTCGAGTACAACTTGAATACCATAAGGTTTCACTTTACAAGATATCATGAGATAATTGAACGGTAGATATGTATATTGGATCTTTGATATAAAAGATCCACATTAAGGGATATGATTATGTTCACACTTAGTGGTAGAGCTATATCATGTAAATCATCAAATAAAATAAAATATCAAGATCTACAATGCAATCTGAGTTTAAAGCACTATCAACAGGAAAAAGACGCATAATGGCTATATAAACTAGTCTCTGTAATATGTAAAGGTTGTGATAGGCAGTGAACGATCGGATGAGCGTAAGTTTAATCTGTAATGGTAAGTCTTGATATATATAGGGAAAAGTTCAATAGAGAATCATTATTAATCAAGGAACCAATCTAAAGCGTCGAAATTTAAAGCGATCAGCGACAAAATGAAGGGTTGTAGACTTTTACAATGGACGCACATACACCAGATTATAAAAAAAAACTCATTGCCTTTTTTTTCGTTTAAAATTTTTTTTAGGTCATGTTTTTTATCGAAAAAAAAACCGAGTATACCGTTGTTCACGATTTTTCGTACTCTTTCCAAAGAGATCCATGATGATATATAAAAAATGAACTTTTTTTTCGAAAAAAAACTCACTTCATTTTCTTTGTTCAAAATTTAAAGTCTGTTTTTTTTATAGAAAAAAATTAATAAATATATCTAAATTCATGCTTTTTGTATTTTTTTAAACATACATTTATATTCATGTAAAAAAACGATATTTCAGTTCAGATTCATATTCTGAACTTGTTCAGATTCACATTGTGAACCTTCTCAGATTCATAGCGAGCATAATAGTAAGTCGGATTCACAATGTGAATCTGAACTGATCGAGCTTTTTCACATTGTGAATGTTAAAAATTGAAATATTTACAGTTTAGATTCACAGTGTGAATCTACACTGATCGAGGTTTTTTTGTGAATGTTAAAAATTAAAATATTTACAGTTTTGAAATGTACCAAAATGATAGTAGCTATCAATGAATACACAAGTCTAAATTACTTGACGTTCACAACCACACGATAATGGATTATAGAAATGCATTGTTCTTTAAACATGTATTTCCTCTCTTAATAACGGAGATATAAGTATTCCAAAGGAGCTTAATACAAAGAAAATAAAATTAAAGTGACTGCATCTTGCAAAACCAAACAAGAGAGATAGTTGATCTACCTACATGAAACAAACCACTAGGATATAATTTTTTCAAGATAAAAATGAAAGTAGATGGATCCACTGAAAGATATAATGTCATATTAGTAATCAAAGGATACAAATGGAAAGGTGGCCTTGATTACATTGATATGACCTCTCATATAACACCTGTAACATATGTTATATAGGTCTTGGTTATTGCATTAATTATAAATTTAGAAGTACATCAAATGGATGTTAACCAAATTTTATAAATATATGTCTAGAAGAAGAAATCTATATGAAACAACCTCATAGATATGTTTCCTAAGGCCGGACGGAGTAGACCGCAGGGAAACCGCGGGATCGGTTCCCGCATGAAGACACACTGCACCGTGGGTGCGGGAAAGGAGTAGCGGGAAGAGGGTGGGGGGAGAGAGTCCCGCTCTCTCTCTCTTCTAACCATTGGTTGTGCAATTTTTTTTCTTTTTTTTCTTTTTTTATTCCAAACGGCTATATATTCGTTATATATATATATATATATATATATATATGTATATATATGTTTTTTTTCTTTTTTCTTTCCCTTTTCTTAACCTATAAATACTCAAACATTCTATCATTTTTTTAACCCATAACCTATATTTCTCTCTGAAAAATATTATTCAAAATGTCATCATCTTCATCATCCGATTCGACGGCTGTAGAGGAGGCTAAGTTTATCGGTTTCGTCATGGCGAAAACGGTTGCATACTATCAAAACCGACTAGGCGAAACATCACGTGCACGACCTAACCTAAGAAAGCCGCCGTTACGTAGAAATCACGAAGTCGGACACGATCGCCATATAGAAGATTATTTTACAGATGACGCCATCTACGCTGTAAAGTTTCGACGTCGGTTCCGGATGAGGAAGGAACTATTGTTACGTATTGTTGGCGATTTGGAAGGTCGCTTTCCATATTTCCAATGGAAAATGGATGCAAGGGGAAAAAAAGGTTTCTCTCTCATTCAAAAATGCACGGCTTCAATTCGTCAGCTAGCATACGGCATGGGCGCAGACAAATGGGACGAGTATTTTAGGATGTCAGAGCGTACCGTGCGGGAGTGTGTGTACAAGTTCTGCAAAGCGATCTGTTTGGTTTATGGGCAACGATATTTGCGTAAACCAACTATCAACGATATCCACCAATTGTATACGGTGCATGAAGGCAAGCATGGATTCCCTGGAATGCTAGGTAGTATCGATTGCATGCATTGGAGTTGGACATTATGCCCCAACGCATGGCGTGGTCAGTACATGAGAGGCGACCACAAAGAGCCGACGGTCATTCTAGAGGCTATCACATCACATGATCTTTGGATATGGCATGCATTCTTTGGTCCAGCTGGTGCAAACAATGACATCAATGTGCTAGACCAATCGCCGGTATTCAACGATATCTACCTTGGAAAGTCACACGATGTACCTTTTCAAGCAAATGGAGTAGCATATAAGCGTGGATACTATCTTACTGACGGTATATATCCTCCCTTGTCTGTTTTTGTGAAATCGTTTACATGTCCTAACGACCCGAAAAGGAAAAAGTTTAAAGAGGCGCAAGAGTCAGCTAGGAAGGATGTGGAGCGAGCATTTGCTGTACTTAAGAGACGTTGGCAAGTACTAACGGTCGGGGCAAGGTCATATGAGGTGAAAAGGTTACAACACGTAATGTATGCATGCATCATATTGCATAATATGATTCTTGAAGACGAAGGAAGAGCGATATGCCGATACAACGAAAATGAAGTTTTGCCAAATGTCGAAGGAGTAGCCGTTGGTACACAAGAGTATAGGGTGAATAGAAGAGAAGTACACAATCGCGACATTCATCAGGCCCTTCGTGCTGATTTGGTGGAGCACATTTATAGGGCTCATATTCAGCCCCCGTACGAGTTATCTCACGATGATTTGTTTGATGAATCAGACGAGGATTCTGATATGTTCGTCGAGAGTGAAGATTCCGACGACGAGAGTGACGTTGGGGAGAATGATGCAAACGATCAAGGCGATAACGAAGACGATGATTCCGAGTGACGTATTTTGGTTTAAATAAAATTAGGATATTCATTATGTTTTCTATGTTGTAGGTTGTTTGATTTTTTTTTTTTTTTGCGTTTTTTTTTTATTTTTCTACTTATTTAAATATTAGGGTTAATGTAATTTTTATTTTAATTAATGACATGCTTTTTATTTTTAATTAAATTTTATGTTTGATATTAATTTAAAAATTATAAATCAAAAAAAAATTATTTTATTTAATATAAAAAAAAAGTGAGGGAAGGGTTTCCCACCCATTCATTGGCTTTTAGGTGATGGAAAGGAAAGTTAGGGAAAGAGAGGTATGGCCCACCAAAAGTGAGGGAAGTTTCCCTCCCACACCCTTCGGTCTAAGGTAAGAACCCAAAGGTTGAAAATTTATGAAGTCATGTTATAGGTTGAAACAAGCCCTAAAGAAATGGTATGCAAGTCTGTTTGACTACATGAAGTTGGAATGCGGATTTAAGATTAAATAATATGACACATGTGTTTATTTAAATGCACAACTAAATATGTGTTATATTATGTCTTTAAATTGATTATACTATTATCATTGGTAGCAATAATAAAATTATAAAATCAACGAAGATCATAATGGAAATATTTCACATGAAGATATAAGTTTGGCCAATGTCAGTCTTGAAGCAAAAACAAAAACAACATAAAATTGAGTTGTATTAAGTCAAACCTATTATCTATACAAAATTTATGAGAAGTTTAATTCTAGAGATTCTGATATAGGTAGAATATTTAATGATGTGAGTCACCATCTGAGTAAGAACGTACGTGAAGGCATTGTATAAATAGAACACTTGAGAATTATTGGTAGCTTGATGTATTTGATGAGTTGATCCATACTTGACTTGGATTTTTCTGTAAGTATACTAAGTAAATATACAAGTAAACCATGTACTGGGCAGTGGATAAGTACTACTAGAGTGTTTTGTTATCTAAGGTAAAACTTATATGTCACGTTATGAGAGAAACCTTTAGGTAATCAAAAGGTATAGTGATGCAAATGGATATCATGTATAAAAGATTCCAATTCACCTTCTACCACACTACCTAGAAAACAAAATCAGCATTAATAATGCACATTAATTGCAATTAACTTTTGAATAACATCTCAACATCCTGTTCGATTTAGAACTACCGACTGTTTGATTTTAATAAGAAACAAACTCAAAACATGGAAACGTAAACTTTAGATTTAGATTTAGTCCACGTAAACAAATCAAGAGAACATTTCATACATGCTTCAATAGTGGTGCTAGTTTTTTAGGGTTATTGACATTAAAGTCCTTAAGTTTTTCAGTTTTGTGTGGTTTTGTCCCTCCAACGATTTTAGGTGTGTTTATGCCTATTATTTTGGGTGTTTATGTCACATGTTCCATTTAGCAGGTTATCTAGTGGTTTCCAGGTAACAAGAACCCTCTTACTGTTCATCATTTTAAACCTCCCACCATCATCGTCATTAGGATTCATCAGAAAAAAGAAAGGGAAGAAAAAGCTAAATCGAAAACCCTAAACTCATTCTATTGTTCATCATCTTCTCCAGCTTCTTGCTAATCGATTCATCATACATACCTGAAATCATATTCTGTTTTGAAGAACCTACCTGAAATCGATTAAACAATAAGGGGCATTAACAAGGGGTGGGTCTTTGAATCTCAACCCAGCAGTCAACAAGAAAAACACACACACACACACACTATGTGTTCAACTTAAAAAACCAAGATTTGTGTTTATCTTCAAAAACCCATCTTTTTAGAATCCAAATCTTCAAAGAACATTAGTGGTATAAGTTTATGTGGAGAAGACGAGAACAAACCCAGATCTACGATCTGGGTTCTGAAATGTTGTTTTCAAAAATCTTGTTTGAAATTTGAGTTCTTTGAATGTGTGTGTATGTGTTTTTCAAGAACAAGCCCAAAAAATCTAAGTTCTTCTTTGAATGTGTGTGTATGTTTTTTCAAAAACAAACCCAGAGCTTCAATCTGAAATCAATGAACACCAGGTTCTTTAGTTTTGAATCTTAAATCCTTTCCTTGCTTGAGTTTGTTCTTGAGTTGTTCTAAAATCTTGTTTGAGTTCTGAAAAGTTGCAAAAGTCTTATTTGAGTTCTGATTTTTTGCTTGAATGTGTGTATGTTTGTGTTTCGGTTATGAAACCATGCGTATTTGCATAGAGAATATGATGATAGTGTGATGAACAGTTGGGGTGACCGGCTAACAGGTATGGGTGACCAGCTAGCAAGTGTGGGTGACCTACTAACATGTCTTTGACTGGCTAAATGGCAAATCTGGAAAAAAAAAAAATGCATAAACACAACTAAAATCGTTGGAGGGACAAAACCGTACAAAATTGAAAAACTTAAGGATTTTTATGTCAATAACCCTAGTTTTTAGTTGATCTAAAAACTTTCTCTAAAATCTCATAGATAAACTAATGAATTATATACGTAATTTGTATATATGATTCGTGCATTTATATGCATGAATATGTAACTGAATTTGAACAATTTACATGATTAGAAGAGTTTGAGTAGATCGGAGATTCAACCCACAAGATATTCGTCACAGATTCAATAATGTTTATCTTCTTTGATATTATTCATCAATAATTTTAAATAACACATGTTGCACTTTTTAATTCCATGTGAATTTTTGAATTTGATGATAACATAATACATATACATTTATTAAGAGGTCCAAAAATGTCTAACAATCTCCCATCAAAGTAGGTATCTCTCTCTCTCACACACACATATATATATATATATATATATATATATATATATAACCATATACATGTTTTAATATATGTTATCATAACATTGATATCCTTAAACAATGTTGTATATTAATCATAATAGTATAGGACCAAAGTAGTCTTCATTAATAACTATCATCATACCAATAATCATGACCCTTCATAACAATGATTAAAACTAGCTACCCATAGTGATAACAACAACCATTCTTACTACTAGGCCAGTCCAAACGTATATGGGGCACGGGGCGAAAAGAAAAAAAATGGTCCTTAAAGACAAAATTAATAAAGATTAAAAAAAATCATTTATTCTTCATTATAGCGTTCAATTAACAATAACAAGCAAGCCAAATTATTTATCTTTTGAGCTAGTTTGAGTTTGAACCAACTTTAAGCTCTAAAAATCACTTAGGTAATACTTTTTTTTATATATACACTACATAGCCCAGAGATTTTGGGCCCCTGGAGACGTGGGCCTTGGGCGGTCGCCCGGGTTGCCCACCGTCTGGACCGCCCTACATACTACTCCCAAGAGCCTTTTCACTACACATGACAACATGATCCACCAAAATTAGTTTTCATAATTTCCTATACATAAACGACTATTCCTTGTGTAATTCTGCCAACACTTTACTTTCATTATATTATGTTAAATGCCATGTAATAAAATTACCATGCATATTTGCAACTTTTAACTAAGCGTTGGCTTAATATTGTTAATTTTCTTGGTTTAAGCAATTTAATTAGAGAATGTGTTAATGTTGTTAGAATGAAGATGGAGGATGGGGATTTCACATTGAAGGACATAGCACTATGTTTGTGTCCGTGTTAAGCTACATATCCCTACGACTTTTAGGGGAAGAAAAAAATGACAAAAATGTTGCACTTACTCGAGCAAGAAAATGGATACTTGACCATGGTGGTGCAACCTATGTACCATCTTGGGGAAAACTTTATCTTTCGGTAAACATTTTTGCATCACATTCATCTATACAAATTTTGTATTGTGTATATCGTGTTTTCCATATCTCATCTTGTTCATTTGTATCGTATAAATAAAATACATTAAAGAAATTAATACTTATTTATTTCTCTCAAACTTTCATTTTTTTCCTTTAAAAATCAACTTTGTCAACTAACAATATCGAATATATTGAAATTTGTTGCATAATATTTGAAAAATAGTCATTTAAATGCTTAACACCTTTTAGTGTGTATTAGGTGCTTGGTGTATATGAATGGGAAGGATGCAACCCAATACCACCAGAATTTTGGATTTTCCCCGAGTTTCTACCCTTTCATCCAGGTACTTACATAGCAAGTCATCTCGAAGTAAGGCTTACAAAGTAAAACGAAAAATTGGAAAAGTCGAAAAGATTAGGATAAAAGCCAAGCAATAATGTTTTAATATTGAACCAAAAAATTTAGTTGATCAATCTCGCCATTTTTCTTGCCCGTTGTGTAGGAAAAATGTGGTGTTATTGTCGAACGGCCTATATGCCCATGTCATACTTGTACGGAAGAAAATTCCATGGCCCAATCACTAATCTTGTTCTTCAACTGAGGCAAGAGATTTATCTTACCCCATACGATGAGATAAATTGGAATAAACAACGCCATAAATGTTGTAAGGTTGTCAACTAATCAACTTTTTAAGCAAGCATATCATGAAAAAAGATCTTGTACTAACTAATATCTTGTTATTTTCATGAAATACAGGAAGATCTCTATTACCCTCACACAATAGTCCAAGATTTGATATGGGATGGTCTTTATTACTTAAGTGAGCCACTCTTCAAGTACTGGCCTTTTACTAAACTAAGAGAAAAAGCCCTCAAAAGAACAATTGAGTTAACTCGTTATAACGCTGAAGAAAGCAGGTACATTACCATGGCAAGTATTGAAAAGGTAAAGGTACTCTCAAGTATTTTGAGTGATAACACATAAGGGGAGATGGATTCAAATTTCCCATCTCAAACCTACAAATGAGTAGCAAAATTTACAAAACGAAAATAACTTTATCTATCCATGTATTATTATACTTTCGACCACTTTATCTATACATATGACTTAGGCTGTGTTTGGCGCGCCACAGCTAGCCGATAAGTTGGCTTATTTTTCGAGCTTTTTTATGTTGTCGTGTTTGATAAGCCAAAAAGTAGCTTATAAGCTAGCTTTTTGAAAAGCTACTTAGACTAGCTTTTTATGAGCTTTTTTAAAATTTTCCAAATACACTCCTTAATTAATTATAGAAACACATACTCTTACATGTCCTTTTATGTAATTTTATATATTTCAGCTAGTTTTACCAAATGTTATTTTTAATCAGCTAACTTTTCAGCTATAAACTACCTTTTTATTTAACAGCTAGTTTTTCAGCTAGTACGCCAAACATAGCCTTAATGAGAAAAAAAAACGTCCCCTAAATTTATAACTTTGGTTTTGAAGGGTTTTCAAATGATGTGTTGGTGGGCGAGAACCCAAACGGGAATGAATTCAAGCATCACCTTGCTAGATTACCGGATTACTTGTGGCTAGCAGAAGATGGAATGAAGTCGCAAACATTTGGTAGTCAATTATGGTGTAGTGCATTTGCAACTCAAGCAATAATCGCGAGTAATATGCCTGAAGAATATGGGGATTCTCTTAAAAAAGGCCCATTTCTTTATCAAAGAATCTCAGGTTAAGAAAAACCCAAAAGGAGATTTCACTAAAATGTGTCGACAGTTTAGCAAAGGATCATGGACATTCACGGATCAAGATCATGGGTGGCCTGTCTCAGATTGCACAGGAGAAGCATTGAAAGTGATATTGCAACCTATTTTATGTTCTTATTTTTCACATGTTGGAGGAAATATTGTTTAACACTAAACAAATGTTGCAGTGCCTACTTTTACTATCCCAAATGCCCGAAGAAATTTCTGGAGAAAATGTAGATAACCAGCGACTGTATGATGCTGTTAACTTCCTCCTTTATGTACAAAGTCCTACAACAGGAGGTTTTGCTGTTTGGGAAAAACCAATCCCACATCCATATTTACAGGTACAAATGTTATCAATAAATTCCTTTAGAGATAAATAAAATGCTAACATTTTTATGCCTACTCTCAATGCAGACGTTGAATCCTTCAGAAATGTTCGCTGACATTGTTGTTGAAAGAGAGTAAAGTCTCCACCAAATCCTTCTATTTAGCAAACTTGGATAAACATTACTAATGTTAATGTTTATTGGTGATCTAATTAGGCATGTTGAGTGCACAACTTCAGTGATGCAAGCTCTCATAGCGTTTAAACAATTCCACCCCAGACATAGGGAAAAAGAAATAGAAAAAGCCGTGGCAAATGCAGTGCGTTATCTAGAGGACATACAATGGGAAGATGGTTCATGGTAAGCTTTTGAACAAAGATACTTAATCACTGTTTGATAGTTGTTGATTGAGTCAGATATTATAATATCTGAATGAGTAAAGGTCTGATTGGCTCAGACACAACCAACCTCTGAATCTGACCAAGTAATAGGCATATCAAAGGAGCCAAGACCGAGGCTTCTAAATATGATACCAAACAGTCTGAATCTGATTGAATCAGATTCGGCCTCTTAATAATTACCATGCATGAACTTATTGATCTAAAAACTTCTGGATATATACAGGTATGGCTATTGGGGGATATGTTTCATATATGGCACATTCTTTTCGTTAGGAGGCTTAGATTCAGCTGGAAAAACATATAATGATTGTGAAGCAATTCGCAAAGGAGCGAAGTTTTTACTTTCGATACAAAATGAAGAAGGTGGCTGGGGAGAAAGCTACAAATCTTGCCCTAGCGAAGTCTACACACCGCTAGATGGAAATAGAACTAATATAGTTCAAACAGCATGGGCTATGCTAGGTCTCATGTCATCTGGACAGGTTAGCTTATACCAATTACTTTTTCTTTTGATTACTTGAAAGCAATTAAAATCCATTTTTCACCTAATGATCAGGCTGAAAGAGATCCAACACCATTACACAAAGCAGCAAAGATCTTGATCAATGCACAGATGGATGATGGAGATTTTCCGCAACAGGTAAATTTGAATGTGAACTGAAACATATGGTTTATTGGTTTTAATTAATAATGTAATTAAATGATAATGCAGGAGATGACTGGAACTGCAATGAGGAACTGCATTCTACATTATCCGTTATATAGGAATATATTCCCGTTATTGGCACTTTCAAAATATCGCAATATATTTTGGGCTACATAAAGCTATAAATTGGAGCTCCTTATTCCAACAATAAGACTAGAAAATGCATATGCACATTACAAGCGTATTAGTGTCATGTAGCTTAAGTTGTGGGGTATTTTATATGCTATAAAAATAAGTTGTCCTATATCCTGGGGTCTGATATATATGCTGTGAAAATAAGTTGGACATGTACTCCAAAACTTTTGAAGTGATGGTTGCATCATTTTTCGTATTATACTTTAATCAAATAAACTATATACATGATTAATATGTTCGACAAAGAAGTTAACACAATTTTTGACATAAAAGTAAAACTAATAGTTGCTATTAATGATCAAAGTTATATATGTACTTTGATTAAAATTTGGCCTAGTGATAGGTGGGACTATAAGGGCACAAGAAACAGTTACAAAGGGGGTAATGCGGTGCTCAGACACATTAACCAAAACATCCGGTCAAATTTACGAGGGTAACTCACTTTTGGTTTTTGGTAGTACTAAAAAGAAAAATTTTTAAAAAAAATTAAAATTAAAACTAAAATAAACTCAACAATTTAACACCACAATCTGACTAGCTATATGTGATTGTGAATTTGTGATGTGCTACTTCAAAGTTCTTTCATATTTTGAAGGATTGAATATCTATAGTATATTGTCAATATTCAACTAATTTGGGACAAATTGCAACCACTATTCATCTCAAGTGTGTGATGAATTCTATTATCATTCCCAAGTTCCAATTGTTAGACGTATGCATCCAAATGCTAAAAAAAATGTAGATGATAATTTCTTTTACCATAACCAAATGAGGATTTTTAGTCGCTGATGGTGTGTGCGTGTGAAACATGAGTATGAAATTGAATAGCGATGGGAAGGGAATAAAACCTACCGTAGCACGATGTAATCAAGGAGATCATCGGTGCAAAATCCTCCGATACTGAAGTCAATCAGTTCCCCACAGCTGAGATCGACTGCCTGCTTAGTCAGCATCTCGATCTCGAGTTTGTAATTCGTATCACTACCATCCCGCCATTTGTTGATATCGACAACCTTCCACATCGCCGGATCCTTGCAAATTCTTCGCCAAGTTCTGCATACTTTTCCTGCGCTCCTGATTTTTTCCACGCTATTCAATCTTTGAAGTATATTTTCCATCAGTTCGTCAGGCATTAACAACCAATTTGGAGATTTCTTCGCCATTTTATCTTAAGAAATACGAAGATAAAATACGAATTGTTTTTATCTTGCCAACTAATCGAGAATCCCCCTTTCAATCGGAAAAGGGTCGAGTACAAAAAATTTCCCCGACTACAAGTACGATCAACAATTTGCATAGTCAGTTTATCCCTGTTCATTTTAAGCGTGAAATACAGAACTGGTCCCTCTACTTAAGTCTACAAGATTTTTTTAGACAAAACTTCATAAATGGTAGCTGTGGTTCATATAATTTGAAGTTTTATCCCTAATTTTAAAAAATCTTACGAATGGTCCCTGTGGTTTCAAAAATAACAAATTATCCTTTTAGCTGACGCCATCATCGTTTGACCGTTAATAGAAGGGCATTTTCATAATTTCACAAAACAGTGACCATTTATGAAGTTTTTTGTTATTAAAAAAAAGATAAAAGAAAAATGTAATTATTTAATATATAAAGGGTCCCACCTCTCTCTCTCTCTCTCTCTCTCTCTCTCTCTCTCTCTCTCTCTCCCCCCACTGTCCTTCATCTTAGACTTCCTCCAACTTCCCTTGTTCCTGTCGCCGTTCCACAAAGTATCACCACCAGCAACTCTTCTGGCGAAGCACCACCAGTGTCGTTTCATTCTCTGTCACAGTAACATTGTCGACCCTCTTACCCTTGTCGGAGTCCATCACCACCACCATTATGTCGCCCACCACACTAAGACCTCGATCCACCCTCTAGTCGGAATTTATCTGAAATCCTCTATCATTGCATCTCGTTCCTCTTTTCTCATCGGGAACCTACAAGTTTGATCCACCCTCTAGTCGGAATTTATCTGGGTTCGATTTGGTTTTTTTGAAGCAATCGAATTCTGAAATTATTGATTTTGATTTGGATTTTTTGAAACTATTGGCTTGTTTGACTTTTGGTTTTGTTTGACTGTGTTTGATTCTTGGTTTGTCTGTTTATAGTCATTAAAATAGATAGCTCCTCCTATAAGTTTGATTCTAGTCTTTGTTTAATTGTGTTCATTGGCTCGCTTCTTTAATTCTCGGCTTTGTTTGACTATGTTGGATTCTTGGGTTGTTTGACTATTGGCTTTGTTTGACTTTGATTGAAATCAACTGATTCTTAGTTTGTTTGATTTGGTAATCGTGCATATGGTTAAGGATTGTAAAGAACTCTCGTTTCCTCTCATCTCATCTCAGACATCCATAACTTTGTCAAATTAAACAGTTAGAGACGATTTTGTCAAATTAAACAGCTGGAGACAATGGAGCCTCATTGGATTCAAGATTGTCGGTGCTAAAGGGTTGCTTTGGTTGGAGATGACAGAATGAGGGAAATTGGAGTTGTGTGTGGCATTTTTGGAATGAAAGGAGGAGACATGTGTGGTGTTTTTGGAATGGAGAAATCAATGGTCGGTGATGGAATGGTCACCGAAGTACCTATGTCGTGTTTCTGGAACGGGGCACCCAATATCAAAATGAGAGAGAGAGAGGGGGAGAGAAAGAGAGGTGGGACCCTTTATATATTAAATAATTACATTTTTTAATAACAAAAAACTTCATAAATGGTCATTGTTTTGTGAAATGACGGAAATACCCTTCTGCTAACGGTCAAAAGATGACGGCGTCAGCTAAAAAGACCATTTGTTAAAAGTTTTTGAAGACACAGGAACCATCTGTGAGGTTTTTGAACCCGGGACTAAACTTCAGATTTCAGAATACCACAAGGACCATTTATGAAGTTTTGTCATTTTTTTTATCACAATTCTGTGTCATTAGTCTTTCGAAATTAATCACATCAGAAATTAAATATCCTCCTACCTTTTGGCCCTACAAATTCTCCTACTCAATTAAATGGTGACATGTGTAATATTTAATGTTCATTTAATGATATTTTAGTATAGTAATGTGACACATGTCATCATTTAAGTGATTAGGAACAAAAGGTAGGAGGATATTTAATTTCTCTAATCACATACCTAGCATCTATAATTTCTTTTAAAATTATTCATAAAAATGATGTATTTTGAGATAGCATATTTTTATGGAACCAATTTTGCCGTGCTTTATTTAAAGGACCATATGTTTGCTAAAAGTCGCTCGCAAATTAGCTAGCACCTTCAACATAAAACAAATCAATAATCTTTAGTGATACTATATAAATCTTTGTGTATACAGTTTAAGATAGCTTCTTTGGTCCTCATTTGATAGGTCTTGATAATTGTACGAGGATATGTTTTCCCTTCGTGGATCTTAATAATTTGCTTTTTGCTTTTATATCGATAAATACTCATGGGGATCATATTTAGTGATGTAGGGTTTTGGAGCTTTATATCTCAACTCCATGTACCTCATATCATTTACAATATGATTTTTGGCAAACATGCAGCTTAGCCTTTCTATAATATCTAAATTCTCATATAGAATTAAACATCACTAAATTTGTAACTGAGGTTGTAGAATTCTCTATGTCCACTTTCTTGGAATCATATTTAGCAAATAACAATATGTTCGTTTCATTTGTTGGTGTAATCATGTATAGTTCACGTAATTGTATTGATTTTTTAAATTTGTATCATATTCATTAAATTATATTCTTGAAAGTTAACGTCCACGAATAAATATCTTCATAACTACTTTTAGGATACGTCCATATGAACAACATTTATTAAGTTTTTACAAGTCAACAAGTAATATTCTATTGACATTACAACTAATAAGTCTTCTAGCAGTAGTGGTTTCCCCTTTTTAGGCATACACAATTAATCAATTAGTTTGGATTATAAATATTAGCGATAAGTACTACAAAACCGTAATAATGACAAGTATTCACTCAATCATAAACATTTTGGTATCACAACCATGACGGCCTTATAACTTGTAGCAACAACTAGCCAAACAAAGTGAAAAATAGGAACGTCGACCAATTATAGATTACCAATCAAGTCCACGCTATAACATAAGTGTGTGTTTGAATGTTATTATGGTATTTATGTTCCAACTAATTTGGTACAGATAAAACATTCCGAGAAACATTGATGATAAATTTGTATCTAATTTGTATACAGAAACTCTTTTTTGGCATAAAAATGAAGAAAGTGGCAAAAATGTATATTTTCCATAACTTATGGTATGTAGCTTTTTAGAATGAGTTGAAATTGAATATCGATGGGAAGGGGATAAAAGTATAACCTATTGTAGCACAGTGTGATCAAAGAGAACATTACTACATCATTTGTATCTGAGAATGAGATCGACTGAATGCTTAGACAGCATCTCGAAATCATAATTTGTATCGCAACCATCAAGAAATGTTTGGATAACTATGACCTTCCACATTGTCGAATCCTTGGAAATTATCCGCCAATTTATGCATGCATACTTTCTATGTGCTCTTGAGTATTTCCAAGGGACCCAATCTATGAAGTATATTTACTATAAGTTTGGAATCATTTATAACCATTTTGAGATATGAGATACGTACCAAAGTATAAATCGTATTCCTTTTTGGATGACCAGAAATTATGGGTCCAGATCAGGCAACTATAATGGTATGTTTGCATATTATTTTGGGTGACCAGGAATGGTGGGTCCAGATCAGACAACTGTAATGATATGTATGCATATTCTTTTGGGTGATCAGGAATGGTGAGCCCAGATTAGACAAACTGTAATGGTATGTCTGCATATTCCTTTAGATGACCGAAATAGTGGGTCCAGATCAGGCAACTGTAAATATATGTTTGGTCATCTTCCATATCACAATCACTTGATTATTCTAACGATTCATCAGGTGAGATAACCCTTCTTGATAATCGTAGACTAGGATATGTGAGGATCGATTAGGGTAGGTATGTTTAGGTATGCGGGTTATAGATATCCAAGTCGGAGGTACATCTATATATTGTTTGGTAACAGTTGGTTTTGCAGGATTAAGATATATATATATATATATATATATATATATATATATATATATATATATATATATAGTTCAAATGTTTAAAATAATTATTGTGTTATTGTATGCATAAATGTGGGCCAATCAAAATTAAATAAAAAATTAAATAAATAAATAAGGGTAATTTAGTAACTTGTTTAGTAACTTCCAAAAATAATCCCTATAATCATGGGATAATCGTTGGTCTTCCTCACCTTAAAACCTAAATAAATAAGATGGTCTTCCTCACCTTCTCATTGCCGCCTGCGACCTCCAACGTCGTATCTGCCTAGGGCTGTCAAATCGGGCAGTCGTGTCGTGTTTTTGTCTGACACGACACGACACGACAAGATTTTGTGTAACACGAACACGACACGACACGATGTCGTGTTTTTTTTCACTAACACGAAAACGAAACAATTAAAAAACGACAACACGACACGACACGAAAAAGATAATACTACATGACTATTAGTTTCTTTAATTCATATTTAATCACACATAACACGATAAAACCGACAAACACGACAAACACATACTCAATCGTGTCAATTTCGTGTGGATTTGTAAACACGAACACGACACGACACGACATCGTGTTTTTTAAACTTGACACGAACACGACACGAACACGAATTCGAATTTTGATTTCGTCCCGATTTCGTTTCGTGTCGTGTATTTTTGTCGTGTCGTGTCATAAATTGACACCCCTATATCTGCCTCATCGACCTTTGCCAAAAATCAGCACCTTCGCCAAGACCTTTGCTGGATCCAAGCCCAATCCGACTCATGGATAATCGCTGCCCTAATGGGACCATCACTCCTCGCTCTCTTCAACATCCCCACCGGACGATGCATCGCTGGCGATCCCGGACCGAATCCCAATGAGTTCTGCGACGAGGATGAAGAGGAATCAAACGGGCCACTGCCAGCACCGAATCCCTCCTCCATATCTAAATGGTAAGAACCTTTTTCCTTTTGTGCTTATGCTTCTGAATCTTTGTGTGCTCCTGAATGTTTTTGCACGACAAGTATCTTAAATTTAGGGTTTATGGTCTAATATTTCAAGTTCCTTGAAGATGAGAATTGGTTGAAGTTTACAAATCAAGTCTTTTTCTAGTAACAAATTGGATCAGGCATTGAGATTTGAGACAAAGATTCAAAAACAATTCTTCAACAGATCATATGTTTGGATTCTAATTGTTTCTTTTT